TTACCTGTTTTTTTTTTTTTTTTTTTGGCTTCAAATGTCGGCTGATGACTGCAAATGGTGCCCGACTAAACTTAGTGCAAATATATGGGAGTCCAGAGAGGCCACATAAAGCTTATTCTCGATCATAACCCCATCTAAAAACACGTTAAAATTGTGCAGCAGCAGAATTCCAGTCAAACCAGTGAGTTTGGCGGTTTTGAGACATCATCTTGTATTGAAAAAAAAAACGTTTTCATTTTGCCGACGCGCATGGCTACGGCGACGCGCGCGCATACCAGAAACCGGAGACTTTTTTTTTTGGCCTAATCTACATGTCTGTGAAGTTTTATAAAATTCGGCGAACCAGACCGCGTGGCGAGTGAAAAAAAAAAGGCCTCGTCCCACGGACTATACATGTATGGCCGGTGACTGCCAGCGCCAATGCATTGTGGGTATACATGTTTATCGGTCATTAATCTTTCTCATAAGAAAAAAGTATCGTTCAACACAACAAACACTCAGTGACATAGAATCAGGAGCGGATCCAGGAATTTTTGCAGAGGAGGGAGGGTCATCAGCAAAACTGAAATGTGGACAATTTTCTTTCTCCGGACACTGAAAATTTGAAATCAATAGGGGGAGGAAGGTCATACCGTACTTTCAAATACCACACTTTCATTATTTATACAGAATAGCTGTACAAAATTACCCCGTCCCCCAGCTGGCTCTGTCCGAATTTTGCAGTGACGGACATTATTACCAGTGCAATTATTTGGGTGTCATAGCAGGAGGGGGTTCACATCACTTTCAAATGTATTTCTATGGGGAAAAAATGAATCAGAGCTGGGACTCCCCCCCCCCCCCCGATCCGCGCCTAAGAAGCAAGAAAATAATCCACATCTATTCTAAGTTATCATATCCAGGGCGAGAGAGATGCTAAGTACATGTATAGCACTGCCGACACGATGCCCTCAATCTAGCCGCGTGGGGGCTACAGGAATTATTACATTTCAAGGTCAATCCCGGCCCCTCGTGATCGCGTGTTCTACAATAAGTTCTGCCTCCCAACCCGTACCTCCCACCTACATGCGGTAATTCCTTTCCCACCTCCGTCCGGCAGCTGGTTTATAGTTGGCCGGCCCATTACAGATCGATTTCCTTTCTTCCGTACTTTTTCACCTCTGTCAGGGCCTATGCTTCCTCTGTGATGACTAATAGCAAATGCATGTACAGTTGTACAATGGTACAACTACAATGAATATGCAAAGTCGTCCTTCAAGTGACAAATAGCAAATGCATGTACATGTACATTGTACAACTAGTACATTGAATATGCAAAGTCCTTCAAGTAACTTTTCAGAAGTCCTTCAGAATAACTATCGTGCATAATTTATTTAATCATTAAAAAAGCCTACAGGCAGAGAAACCGTTAGGTATAAATAATGCACTGTAAAAATATATTATGCAAATAATTCGTAGAATCTGTCTGGAAGGGATGCACGACGCAGATTTTCCTTGATTAAAACAAAAGCATCATTTTGTAAGCTGTACGGTGCCTGGTCTTCTTTCTCACTTTCGAAATTTGCGTGACCCGATTTTTTGGGGGACTGTTCCAGGATAAAAAAAAATCTCCATTTCATTGTCGCCATTCCTGATGGCGTATCCGTAGCACATTTTGTCTGGTGACATATCTCGTGGCAATGGCACTGAGACCCATTTTTTTTCTGGAGGGGCCGGGGCACTCAATGCCTTAAAGCTCATTTCTGCCTTCCCGAAATTCTCAGCGGGCCACAAGGGGGATGGGGAGGGGAAGGAGGGGTACAGGCCCCAGCCTATGCGCCCCCTTAATACTTGCGCCACTGATCCCTTGAAAGTACATTAGGCTAATCAAGCGGAAATGACAACCGTATGAACGTCGTCGGTCCATAATGTGTATCCCGTGCGAGTACAGTGCGTCTTTCATTTTTTTTTTCATAATACATGTACAATATACATGTACATGTATACATGATAAGGAAAATGCGAATTTTCTCATGTGCAGTAAAATGATCTTTGCCAACAACTACAGTGGAACACCAAATTATAACAAGATCTTCAATTGGAACTAAATTGCAAATTACCTTGTTACACAGATAGAATAACAAAGACTTGGTATCTTAACAAATTCCTGGTTATATAAGCAGGATGTTATATTAACAGCGCTCTTCTCAACTGTATAAATGTATATCTTTGAAGTTTAGGTCTCGAGTCGTCCGGGCTTTCTGGAAATAATGAAGTAGGCGGTCCCTTTTCCCAAGATGGCGGAGTTTCCAAATTGGCGGACGGATTCTTCCATTTTCTCGACTCTAGCTTTGATCGCACAAAATTGTGTCCTACGGAGCATTCAACCTTACTACATTATAAAGCTACAATTTTGTTGGAAACAAATAAAATTGGCAAAAGTTGCAAAATACACATGTATGCCTATTCATTTTTTTTGTAAATGTATGAGTTAAAAAAAGGGAAATGGCCGGGGACGAGAAATTGGTATACAATGTACAATGTACATGTATATTTTTAGTTGCAGGAAAGCAGTTCAAGAAATTATCCTGTCTCTCCGTTGGTTAGTAACAAACTTCAGCAAATGCCTTTTTGGCAATCAATCACCTAGCTAGTCCAATAGGCCCTCGCAACAACACGTGTTTCAGGTCTCCATTGGCCAGCTACCAATTTATCGAAGTCATAGAAAGTCACTCATTTCGCATTAGGGCTAGTGCACACAAAGTGGGTGATCCACATGCTATAAAAATGCTCCATGCACCAACTGACGCTCAACAAATGGGAATACTTTTCAACTGACAGTCACGACCACATGAGTAGTTGTGCATTATAAGAACAGATCGACTTTTACATCATGAACATGACATGCTACAGCAGGTCTACAGTTTGGTCGCAGCTTTCGAGATCATTTCGAGCTTGTTTAACATGGCCTTAGCCTTGGACACTTTTTTGTGACCGTCTGTAAAAAAAAAAACCCAGGCAGGTTGGGAATGGTGCAGTATACGTTACTCCCAGCTCTGGTAACGCACGTCGTATAAATCCAATAGTTTAGACCATAATTCGCAAGGGATGACTGGCTAATCTTAGGAAAATTAGTTTACAAAATCAAAGTTCAAAACATGGCACAGAATAACGCTGCACCGACACTCCTAAAAGCAAGGATGCGGCACATCTGCTAATTTCTTTGTCCGCCTTTAATAGGCAACTTTATTACAACTACATGTACATGCACATTGAAGACAAACCTCTTATTACACGATCAAAACTACCACGACTCACTACAGAAAGACATTGGTTTTAACTACAAGCAATCGAAATCCAGAAAAGCATTATTACACGTACAGTACTTTAATTTAAGTAGCCAAGTACAGTGAAATCCTGATAAGCCAAACCTCAAGGGAACAGGTTCAAAATTTGACTTGAGCAGAGTTTAGTCGAGGGGTGTATAATCATTGATGTACTAATGAAGGGAATGGATTCTTTGTTTGAGTCAGCCTGCTTATTACTTGGGTCAATATTGGTCAAGACCCCCATTGGTTTGTACACAGTAGGCCAGGAGGTGAGGAAGAACATTTTGACCATTGGTGACCTCTCAAGCAAAGGGAGGGCTTCGAGTTACCAGAGTTTGACATATCGAGATTTCACTGTACATCAATCTAGTCTGCAACCCTGCGAGTCAAGGCAAACGACAGGACGGTCACGTCAAAAGTCAAATTAGACAATATATAGCACCACTTTAAATATGTCGACTTTCTTCTATTCGTTTCCATAACAAAAAGAGGAAAACAGGATGAAGTCATTAGCCCCACATTACTGTGCGTTTATTCTTTGGTTTACTAGCCAAGTTTATTCTTCGGTTTACTGGCCAAGTTTATTCTTCGGTATAGAATATTCAAATGGCTGCCATTGCTTGTTATTATAACTATATATTTGTTCAAAGGACAAATCTGCGATTGCCCTATGGTCCAATATCTTTCGGGTGACATACTCGTGTGCTATGCCATGCCCTGTATAAATATATTCAGATTAAGGCACAATCCCTACACATCTGCCGTACTAATCGGTGGGATATCAGTTAGAGTTTGTAGTTTCACTCTAATGGAAATACACCATGTAAGGGAAGAAATATACATGTACATGTGCAGCAGTTCAATCAGGGGTGTACCACTGCGTTTGAAACAGGCAATTTAAAAACAAACTTTGAATCATCGTAAGGTATTTTAAAAGATATTATTTATACACTATTTCTATAACCATGTCATTGAAGTTAAAGGCAGTGTTTTGTACAACGTCCGAAAATTTTTCCACCGTTTCATTTATGGGTGCCAGCCCTTCGAACCCCGTCCTAACGGCACCCAGAAATGAATACTGCTGGGCTTAATAACTTATGAACATTGTATTCCTGAGAAATCATCACACACTTCCGATTGAGGCGCCATCGATTCATATACAAGCCCCTATGATCAATACCCTGTCTGTCGAAAGGTCACAAAATGGAGGTCAACTTAATTTTGACCTTGTTAACTATTTTGCAATACTATTTGCTACAGGATTCTGTCATGCATCATTGGAAACCTATTAAAACAGAATCTGATTAATATTGAGCTTCCTGGCGTGACAGAGCAGTTTCCAAACAGTATACAGTCGGAACTCGTTAATACGAGCACGGTTAAGACGGGATTTCGGTTAAGACGAGTATATTTCGCCAGTCCCGACTGTATAAAGTCATGTACATTGTACTACAAACAACACAACATGCACATATTCGCTTGAGTAATAGCTACTCGGTAATCTTATTTTTGTATAAATACAATGTACCCCTTGTTATTCTTGATACAATTGACAAATCAGGCGGCACTTTGGAATGATATCGGTCAGAGGTCATATTCAAGTTTCATATGCTTATAGCTCCATGGTTATACGGATGTAACGTAGGCAAATTACATGTATATGTAAATGTGTATGTACATGTATATAGGATGTCCCAATAAACATTGTGCATGAAAAAAAAAATTCGAATTTTCTCAAAAGTTGGTCCGACTAGCTGATCGAATTTTATAGCATTTTCAAGAAATATGGTCTTGTTTATAATTTGTGAAAACAAATCAAGAAGATTCAACTATGCAAACCAACTTTCATCTGACCAACTTTTGAGAAAATCAGCTATTTCTAAATCTTCTTGCACGATGTTTATTGGGACACCTTGTATATCATGCCTTGTTAACAATCAAAATGTACGTGTATTTTATTCACCGAATTACGCTGCGTGCTATATTTCTTCCAACAGTACATGTGTAGTTTCAAGAAATTCACACAAAAATGAAGTTGACCTACAAATGGCCGACCTTCAACACAGATCTTCATCTAAAACTTCAGGTGATGAATATGATTTCAAGATGGGTGCAACCAAAACAGCCCTTTTTTTTTATCACAATCACTGATTTATGGCTGATACCTGTAAGAATCATGAGGTGGTGGAATTGGAGCGAGGAGGGGAGACGACAGGTTCTTGAGATGCGACTCATCCCGCACGGGGTGGTATCCAAAATGCTCCATCATTTCAGCACAGCGTCCAACATTCTCGATGGCCTTTGCGGTCTTGAAGTCTAACTTAGTACGCCACGACTGATACACTTGGCTGGACACTCGGGTAGTCGAGTATACTCCAGGTCTATGAGCCTGGGTATTCTCAGCGATCCATTTAGATATTGTCTCAGGGACAGCACCAAGTCCAGTGAAGTTGTAGATGAGTTGGGTGACTCTCTCTGGATCCAATGACATGTCCTCATACCTCAGTAGAAGGTAGTTGTCTCTGTACTTGGGGAGGTAGTACCCTATTTCTTTATTGTCGATGCTATAGGAGCAGAACTCCATCAAGTACGATCGCATTTCATCTGTGAAAGAATCCGCCTGCAATTTGTTGAATGTGTTCTCAACGACATTCATGGCAAGAACTCGCGATGCAGTCATTCCTCTTGGGTCTCGAACGAGATGAATGACCTTGAGTTTCACGTTACTATCTTGTATCAGTGACAGAAACATCCCGATGTCCCAAATACGGATAGATTTTATCGCAATGTGTCTCTTCTCTTGGCATTTTCTCTCAAAAATCTCTGCAGGAACGGCGTCGCACTTCAGCCCCGTTTTCCCCGTCTTAAACGGGTAGCAGAATGAGTCAAAAATTCGTGGGACTTTTTTCTTGACTTCGAGTGGGGGCTGCCTAGACAACCACTTGAGGTAGAAATCCAGAGAAGATGTGTTGCATTGATAGAGCGACCTCAACATATCCATATACATTGGCTGTAAGAAAAGAGCTCCCCTGGAATGCAGCTCTGTGAGCAGTGCTAGGCCGGGCTCAAATAGGTAGAAGATGTCGTCATTTCGGCCGAATATCTCACCGATGAACGAGGAACCAGTCCGCATTGATGTCAGCACGACAATACGCGATCCCGGTGGATCACTGCTGCTGGTATCTTCCACAGGGACCGAGTCATCACCGGTTACAGGTTGCTCTTCCACGCCGTTGGGCACGGGGTCGATAGAAGTAGGGTTGCGGTTGCACGGTGGACACGACGATGATTCCTCACTACTGACATTCGTGCCTCTGGAGAAAATCCCCAGTTCTTCTTCGGTGTTACTTTTGTCCTGTGTAATCTGTCGAACTCCCTCTCGACTCACTGCCGTGACACTCTTCACTAGCGTGCCACTTCTTCTACCGTAGAGAAGCAGACACATTGCCGATACAGCGACAAGTCCAAACAGTACACATCGGATATTCCTTGCCATGCTGCTGGCTGCTACATACAAGGAGTGCTCAAGTTAAGATGTTGTTGATGTTGTATGTATCCCAGATGTCCAGCAGTAGGCACACTGCAAGTTTTGTCAGATTTCACCGGAAAATATTCCAGAAACTTTCTGCATCTTAATTAGTGGTATAAGGCTATAACTAAAAAATGTTCATGGTGATGGCTTGTAGAATCGGTGTTTCTTCTGTAGTAATGCGTCGTTCTGGAAATGCAATGTCCAGTTCGTGTCACACCTGTGTTGAGTCCAACCACACAGCTTACGCAGAGATGTTGGATAATTGCTTATAATGTACATGTACGTGTGCTGTACTTGCGGTGTAAGCAGAATACATGTACATTGTGGCCACACGTTGCGAGTTTACTAAAGACAATTCACGGATCACTGCACACCTGTTGAGCGCAGCCGCAGCCATCAGTCAGTGCAGAAAAAAAACTCGATTTGCAGAAGTCAGTCAGGCTCAGGCAACGACGTCATTAAAATCAATTCACAGAAATATGTAACGGTTCAATACATCCTCATAAAAGACGGGGTTTCGGTTGTTTTTTTTTACCTGTATGCTATGAACTGTAGGTTCAAGGCTCAATGTGGAAGCATCGTGCTGTTTTTTCCATGTTTAGTTTTGAGCGACGGACTAGCACAAAGTTTAATGGCCCTATTGACGTGCTGGTTTCCACAACAGATGGACGCTATTACGTAACGCCACACGCAAACGTTTATCTGACAGTTTATCTGCAGTCTGCCACGGTGGACGTTTTTTTTAAAGGATGTTGACACAAGCAAACCTGTCGCCAAAGCCGGAAGCGTTGTTCTCGCATACGCGTCATAATAATGGTTTAATACTTGGTTGTGTCCTGTGAGAGATCTAAGTAATCTCGGGATATTTGTGACAAATGAAAATACACATGTATTAGGAGATAAATCACCCGCCACAGCGACTGCGCGGTGTTACGTATTGAGCTTTGACCGATTGTCAACCACTGATCTCTATTATACTGTCGTGACAGGCGGCGATCGCTGCTCACACGTTGCCGTTGATTGGTGATTTTCCACTCTAAAGAAGATTACCTTTAAAAGCAGTCCTGGTGTCCATCGCCATTTTGAATAATAATCCCTTCACTTCCTTGGAAAATAGAGCGAATTTTTTTTTTTTTTTTGGGGGGGGGGGTTCAAATTTTCATCCAGATTTTTCAGCAATACAATTTCAAAGAAGGGTTTAAAGTCGGAACCAAGAAACAAAAATTTTTCCATGAAGCCCTATAAAGAAAAAAACCCCGACAGTATACAAATCGTGGTGTGGCCGGCATAGGCAATTTAAGTTTGGCCTGTTGACTGGTTTTAAAACGACGAAATTACTCAAAATCTTAAGAACGTTGCATAACAACTAACTTCAACACGGTTCGTTGTTATGCAACGTTCTTAAGATTTTGTCTTCGGTCACTTCGCCTCGATGTAGGTCAAATATCACACTCAAGAACATCATTACGAACACATTCTCGTAAAAGATGGTCCGGTACTTCTGTCTTGATAAGGCTTGCGGGTTTTGCCGTCTGATAAGGTTTGTGCACAAAACCCCCGGCGCTTGGAGTTTTTAGAGGACCATATTTTTTTTTACATGTAACCGGGGAGAGCGATATGAATTAGTTTTAAATGTGGCACTCTCCTCACAACCAAGTGGTTCCACTAAATAATTTGGGTGGAGCGAAGTCTTTTGGATGTCTCAATAATATCAAAATATTTTATTTACAACACAATTAAATTGATTTCGAATATATGAGACAATGTATTTACAAATTTATATCTGGTGTTAACAAAAGAATTAGTGTATAAAGAACTTTGGTATACAAAGAACTTGGGCATATAAAAAGAACGACAGTCAAAAGGGAATGGAAGCTGTCTAGATCTATCCAATGATCTTAAATCCCAAACAATAAATCACTAATGAGTTATGGGAAAACTTTCAGATCAAAGAACATTATATTAAAGACATCATTAAATTCAACGTAATTTGGGGAAACACTGTTTTCCTTATTTTTTAAATCAAAGAATACGTTTATAAATACATCAGTAAGTGAACAGATGTTGCATAAAAAGATTATGGCATAAAAAGATTCAGGCATAAAAAGTTCAATAACACACAAGGGATTTACTCACCATTTGGGATGATCTACGTTCATGCCTTCCTCTCCGTGCTCGATGTTAAAATCGAAGAATCAGCAGCAAAATTGAAGAAATTAATGCAGAAAACTGCAGTGCCGGCAACGCCGGATATAAAATTATATTACTGCTACAACGGGGAGCCGCACCCAAAATGTGCAGTAATAAAAGTGGAGTGTGCAATGCTCGCTATAAAATGCTGGTCGCAAAGCAGGAGCAGGAGCTGGAAGATGTCAACTCAAAGTAGAGTTGGAACGGAATCAACGATATTTAGGACCTAGCCCCATGCCTAGCCCTACGGGAAAACTATACGAAACGCCCGGAATGCCAGCTATCTAACTTAAAAAAAGCGCGTGGAATGTAGAACTCGCCTGCTCGCTACGCCCTTTGCATAGTTTCAAAAGTAGCGGGCAAAATTCTTGGTGGCGCGCGCTGAGCTAAAAAAGTTTAGTTGGCCGCAAGAGGGCGCTAGGCAAAAAGATGATCGATCGTAACGCAACGCTCATGGCTGACAAAGTGTGACATGCAAGTAATATACTAAAGTTATGACATGACTGTGATGCATGATGGAGTAGGGAACCTGTCGGGTAAAAGTGTGTACGAAAACCCGACCTGGTTACATACGGTTACTACGTGTCAGCCTAGAGCAACGGTAATGGCCAAGCCTACGTGCAGCCAAATTTACAAATGGCATCCCTACATTTTCTCGGGCAAATAGGACCCATTTTTCGACCGTAATTTTATCAAGTCTGCCCTCAGATAATAGCCCAAAAGCTAGGGAGTTGATCCTCGGCTATATTTGCACAATTCATCCATCGTTATTTTAAACCAGACGGTCTCTTTTTTCCCCCCAAAAGGCTGTGGGGCACGTACTTTTGATGCAAATGAGTTCGCGTAGAAATTTTGTGAACTCTCATCAATCGCGGATTTATTGCGCCCGCTGTCGGTCTAATTGCACCATTCGGATATATCATCTATCTAGCGCCCCCCCCCCCTCCCCCACACCGTAACAGCAATAAAATATTGTTTAAAAAGGTGCTCGTTTATTCAGAAACTAGTATAAATTCCAAAATTGAAAAGTTCTTTTTGAAAGCCCACAAGCGAGATGACCACTCTCCCAATTGGTTATAGTCAAGTCAATAAAAACATTTCTTGGTGAATAAGTTTGTCAGGTCTGTATGCTTATATGTACAGGTTCGAGTGGTTTACTCCTGGTATTCTGTTTTGGATTCAAACGCTAAAATGCCACTTTTGCAATATACCCCTTCATTTTTCTTTGTGCCTTCATCAGTGCCTGCAGGAAAGAAGTTTCTTCCCAATTCTTTTCTTTCAGAGTTCTAAACATTGGGCGACATGTGCCTCCTGCCTAGTTTGTAATGTCCACACTATCTCACAACGCGCGGTATGCGCCTCGTAAACCCCTTTTGAAACTCCACACTAATCTCATTCAAAGAGCGCAACAGGGCTTTCAGTTTCTAGTGTTGTTGCATTCGAAATGGGCGTCGCGGGGGGGGGGGGCAAGGGGGGGGGGGCGCTTGCAAACAAAGAAAGAAAAAAAGTGAGAAAAAAGAAAGACAAAAAAGAAAGAAAAAGAGGTGTGAAGTCCATGTGAAGTCATATGGCGACGCCCATGCAGGAGGGGGGGGGGAGAGAAGGGTTAGTGCTTTAATTTTCGGGTAGCCATTATGCAGCACAAGAAATGAGCTTCAAAAGTTAGATTATGTCTTCCATATTATTTGCCGAGGCAGCAACCAACTTCCAATAGAGAAACAGTAGTTAGGGTTTGTGACTCATGATCAGAGGGTCAGGAGTTCGAATTCAGCTGCTGACCATTTTTATGTTGTGTCCTTGGGCAGGCCTCTTCATCCACACTTGCCTCTCTCCACACAGGCGTGTAAATGGATGCCGACTTTAGCTGGGGAGTAACCTGTGATGGACTAGCATCCCATTCAGGGGGAATAGAAATATTCTCTGAAACCGGAGATAAATGCCGGCGCGGCCCAATGGGCCACATTGGCTCGTGACAGACTTTACTACTTAATTACTACCTTTAATCATCTAAAATATGGTGGCAAATGTCAGTAATGTGTTGCAGATCTAGCTTTCATGAAACGGGTGTGTGTGTGTGTGTGTGTGTGTGTGTGTGTGTGGTGGGGGGGGGGGGGGGGGGTGATATAAAGGTGGTGGGGTCCTAAGGCGTGTCGAAGGCATGCCCTACTAGGGGGTCCGGGGCATGGCCGCGGACTACGATGATTTCTCCTACATTAAAAGCAATTCAAGAATACATTTAGGAACTTAATTAGCATTCCATTTGATATTTTTGGCCCCATTTTACTACTTTCCTTAATTAATCAGTGTCTGATTAATCAACGGGGGGGGGGGGGGGGGGGGGGAGGGGGGTGTTTCCTCTAGATCCACTACTGAAGAACATGATTCCGAGAGTGATAACCGAAACTGGAGATTAAGCCGTGGTTCAGAAAACATCCATGTATTAACTGCGCGCAAAAAACGCCACACAGTTTTCAAGAAATGAATGTCAGTCCTTTATTGCGGGCTTGTTCAAATTACACCTAAACTACATCAAAACAATTTATAGGCCTGCTCAAATAGGCACATAAGAAAGTATATTATGGTTTTTATTAAATGTAACATTCTCTACACATGCTGCAAGATAAAATATATACAATCCTTGCTATTTTTCGAGTTCAACCCCCAAAATATAGATAAAATCCAGTTCTTGGGTACTTTGGCGCATAGACCCGAGAAATTCCTAGCATACACGCGCTCAATAGCTTGAATACATCATGCCTAAATCTGTGCTGACTTACGGAGTTAAAGGGAAGATACAACATTTGAAAACATCAAAGAACGAAATGATCAAATTATCACGAAATACCTTACTGAACTGTTAGGGAATGACAGTCTAAGCATCCTTTAAAATCGTGGCTCCTGGTGTGCTGACATTTTCACGAAAACCAGCGTTGGAGAAAACTGGCTTTTTTCAAAAACTGTTCCTACTTTTTCATATTAAGTTATTCTGACTTTTCTTTGCAATTGATTACACACCTGTGAAGGGGTACAAGCCTGCGCTAGACCTATTCTCGACCTTACAGTTCCCCAAAGAGTATTACATGTAATTGCTCCGTTTCATCTTAAGTGGGGTCAGGGAGCCAGACTACAAGAATATGATAGGTTTTCTTGGTTTTTCCAGCATCTACAAGACCAAAACGTGAATTAAGTCAGTTTAACAATATTTTCTATAACATACTAATCCGCCAAATCCATTAATTTCTGAATATTGCAGCAAAAGCAAATGTTGTACATTCCCTTTAACAAACTTGTTGGTTGCCATGATAATATGGAGCCGGATGG